AAGTTCAAAACTGAGTTTAGAACTAAGTTTGAAACTCACGTTTGACCTTCATATAATATTTTAGGAACTTGAGCATGACTTTCACATGATATTTTTTGAACTCATTTTCGAACTGTTTCTTAACTTGAACTTTTATGAAACAGGACCGATAACATCCCTAGATTAGAGCTTTGTATTCGTATTTGTTATTCAGGTAACATTTGTATTTGACGAATATTCAAATAAATATATATCTAATGAATAATTTGAATAAGCAAATTTTACATTCTGTTATTCGGCGAATATTCTTAGCGTGTGACTGTTATTGTGGAACGTTGAAGAAGCCAATGAAATTTCAAGGATCGACGCCAGGGACCTGCAAAAATTTGGATCCAAATTTTTCCAAATTTTTGCTCTCAATCCAAATGGTTCCAAATTTTAGCCCCGATATCCAAATTCTGGCCAAATTTTTTCAGGTTTCATGTGGCCTGACCAATAAAAATTAACTATTTAGTAACTATTTGGGGAACCAGAAAATTACGAACCAAAATCAGAATAATGTCTAGTCGAAAATTTTAGGTATGTCTGTCGTGAAGATTCGGAATCGAGCAAATTTTTTTTTTTGCCAAATTTTAATAAATTTTTTCGATTTGATATCCAAATTTTTGCAGGTCCCTGATCGACGCCAATCAGTTAGGCTTTTGCACGTGCCAGTCGATACTTTATTATCGTGTAAATAGCGATATGTAAGCTCACGCTCATATTCCAGTAGCAAAAAAAAGGAAAGAAAATGTCTACTGATTCGTTTACTGATTCACCGCAAAAGCGGCCTACTGTGCTATTGTGCATTGGCATGGCCGGTTCTGGTAAAACTACCTTTATGCAGGTATTGCAATTTGACCAAAGAATTTATCTCAGAAAAGATAAAAACGTAGTAACTAACTACTGACAAACTAATATTCTTTATAGCGTTTGAATGCCCACCTTCACAGTGTCAAAAAGCCACCATATGTATTAAATCTTGACCCAGCAGTTACTCAGCTTCCGTTCACCGCTAATATTGATATTCGAGATACAGTGAATTACAAGGAAGTGATGAAGCAGTAAATATTTGATCTATTAAATCTTGTTATTTATAAAATGATAACAGAAAGTGAAAGTGATTTTTTTATTATTAGATATAATTTAGGACCAAATGGAGGGATTTTGACAAGTTTAAACCTTTTTACTACAAAATTTGATCAAGTACTTGAATTCATTTCCAAACGCGCACCAACACTTGAGTAAGAATTTATTTGATTAATTCATTCATTTCAAGGATTTGCCTAACAGCTTAATATAATTTTATAGGCATATCATTGTGGACACGCCTGGCCAAATCGAAATTTTCACATGGTCCGCATCTGGGGCTATAATTACCGATGCTATGGCGGCAACGTATCCATGCGCAGTAGCATACATTATAGATACACCACGAACAACAAGCCCAGCAACATTTATGAGCAATATGTTATATGCTTGCAGGTGAATTATAACTATCTTATTTATTACTATTTATATTATTACTGCATCTCTTCAACTATTGATCCAATTTCAGCAAATTTTAATTATTGATGATATGGGTAACTGATAATAATTGAATGGAAAGTTAGTATTTTATATAAAACAAAACTTCCATTCATATTGGTTTTCAATAAAACCGACGTCGTTTCGCACGAATTCGCAGTGAGATGGATGACAGATTTTGAAACATTTCAGCAAGCTTTGCAAAAAGATTCGAGTTATATGAGCAGTCTTATGAATTCTATGTGCTTGGTTTTGGAGGAGTTTTATAAACATTTAAGGGTAATTAATAATTTCCAGTAGTATTTATTATTATTATTAATTTTCTTTATTTATATTTATCATAGACTAACTTATATTTCTGATAGGTTGTTGGGGTCTCAGCCATAACAGGTGCTGGAATGGATGAATTTTTTAAAGCAGTAGATGAAGCAGTCAAGGAATATGAAACGTAAGCGGTGATATGTAACATGATATATTATTATTTAATGTTCTCATCTAACCATTATTATTTGGTTTTGTTTTAATAGTGTTTATAAACCTGAATTAGAAAAGTTGATTCAGGAAAAGGTATTATATACACTTTATAGAATCCATATATTTTATTTACATTTTACTAATGAGAGCACTTAACAAGGCCGAACGACAGGAAGACAAGAAACAAGCACAACTAACAAGACTAATGAAAGACATGGATGTATCAGGTTCTTCTTCAAGAGCAGGTAATATTAATAATGTATATCCGTTGACAATATGATTCAGTTTGTACATTTTTATTTAACTCGTACCTTTTTGCAGATCAAGCAACTGGGTACTATAATGCAAATGAAGATGAAGACGAGGATGAGGATTATGATGAAGGTAGTGATTTTGGCCAATAATGAAAAAAAAGTCTGCTAAAGCTATTTTTTTTGAAATCGGTTGATCAATTTCCTATAACGATAATAAATAATGAGCTTTTGATCATTACAAAAAGTGGTTTTTATATATACATATTACAAATAGCAAGTAATGTTGTGAACGTTAAATCGTGTTTCCTGACTTTGCTTTTAGCAAATTTAATCAGATAATCTTTAGAGATAACAAACAAAATTTATCTAAAATTAAATTAGCATGTTAAATTTTTTTTTTGTTCTACGAAAAAATCGCATAATTTGAATAAATTCTGGAAACGCAATGCATTAGTGCATAATTTGTACCGATCGCATCGCATAATTTACCTCTTCATTTCGCATAATGCTGAGTCCCTGGATTGCATCCTAAAATTTCCGATGTGGAAAATAAAATACGAGCCAGTAAATTCGGAAATTCCGGATAAATTACTGTAAAATCGGATAATCGATAAGCCGACTGGCCAGGATAACTATTCGGTTTAGTCGAGTCAATAATTTACAAAACTACTGGGGTAGCTGATTTAAAAATACACATCCTACAGAAAAGTATTCGCCCTACCTTATTTAAAAATAAATCATGAGCTTAATCACTTTGTAATTTTACTTTTAACTCTGATAATTTAAGGTAGGGCGAATACTTTTCTATAGGGAGTGTAAATGACCCTTTAACTACATAGCTAATAAGCTATACTGTACTATAGTCATTTGTAGGTAAATTTATTTTACACTATTGAGAAGGTTTCGTTGGTATGTACATTTGTGTTTTAGGATCATAAAAGCGACTGAAAAAGCTTAGTGATGACCTTGTAATTCTATATTCATAGAATATGCTAACAAATAAACAGTAAGTCTGCAAATTAAACCAGGACGTGGATATATTTAAATTTTCACACTTCGAAAATCATAATATTATATAATTTAATCACAGACATTATCAGTTTTGAAAACTTAAATTTTCACTTCCTGGTTTTTGATTTGGCATCAATCAAAATGGTACTGTACTTACCGTTATACCTTAAGACTAAAACAGAACAATTAACGTTAATGTAGAATTAAAACTTAGAAGTTTAAAAGATTATTAAGCAATAATCGAATGAAAAACCAGCTAGGCTAGTCTGTGTTGACAAGAATTACATAATTTGAAGTCGATTAAGTCGATAATTTTTATCGGCTTAGGGGTTCTCAAGCGATTAATTGGTGGTGCGAAATAGTAATTCAATTGGTTAGTTTATTCTAATTAAAATTTTGCCTCCGATCAGGGTGCTTGAGAACACTCTTAGTCTAGCCGATAAATGTTGAATGGCCAGCTAGAGACACTAATGATGGATGCAAGAAAGAATTTGACAATCATACAGGAGAAGCGCAATAATTGTTTAACACGAATAGATCTGAAACTTGCAATATTTTTAAAATCATTCAAACCAAATAAAAAAAAAATTTTTTTTCTTGATATGTTTTCATATAAGCTGGTTATCTATTTCTGATTTAGTTTCTTCTTTAAATATTGATAGCTAAGGATGTTAAAATCTGAGTCGAGTCTTAACTGACTCAAACTTGACTCAAAATAATCAAATAATTAGTATTTATTATATAAAAACAATCAAAAGTCAAAGCAGGTTAGTTGTTATATATAAATTTCTTGTTTTAGTATAAACTAAAAGTATTGTAAAATTTGATTTGTTGAGAATAAATTGTTTTCATGACTATTAAAGCAGGCTTGCAGTTAACTCAAACCGATTCAAAATCTGATAATCTTATTGATAATAAATGTTACTAAGGTTTATAATTCGTTCGTTTTTTTTAACTATCGGGTCAGTATTTAATCCGAAAAATTAATTTAGTATAGTCGACTACAACAATACGGCTTTTTCATTACCGTTACAATTTACGTTACAATACTACCAGTTCAAATGCACTAGATGCACTAAAATAGTAAAATCAGTAAATTACATATAATCAAATACAATTAAATTAGGTTATACGTACGCTTCACTATTGTCGTATTTCATAATTAAAATATTTTGGTCAAGACTTTCTGCGTAATACATCGTCGATTCGCGTTACGTATCAAATGATCGATTATCGATTTTCGTGTGTGAGGTACAAAAACTGAAACAAGAAGAAAGGTTTACAAGAAGCAGGGTATATTATCACATGACCTCTTTTTTTTTTTTAATGCCCGAATAAAAAACAATTTCTGGAATTATTGAATTAAAGATATACGTGCTGATATTGCTATAATTGTAATAATACTTTTACTGTAAAAAAAGACCTTTGTGTAAAAAAATAATTATCAGCTTAACGAATAAAGTTTAATAACACGCTCGCTGGCGAGACAACTTCCACACCGCCATCCTTTCATCACTCTACAAAGGTTAGTTAAATAGTTAATGAAAGTAGATAATTGTTATTAACATACTGACAAACTTGTGCTCCCTCTTACCGTAACATTAAAAAGACGTACAGTCGTTAATTTACCACGAGGTTCGGGCTGTCAAACAAACATATCTATTACCCTTATAAACAAACTCAACGAATTGATCATAGAAGCAAATATATGTAATAATGAGCAGAGTACTTAAACGAACACCAAGTACAGGAACAATGCAGAGTAACATTTCATCAATTGAAGCCCCTAGCACAATGAGTGCAAACACTTTAAATCGTCCCGCTCAAGCTTCGCAATCATTATATCCACAATGTCAAGATCTTTTAGGAAGACTTTATTGTGTAGAAGGATTTGAAGAATATTTAATACAAGGACGAAATAGTATGCAAAGCAACAGCTCAATAGTCGGAACACCGACGTCTGAAAATGGCCCTAGTAGTTTAATTCTTAGAGAAGATCCTGTAACTCTTTTATGGCAGACTTTTCGTCTAGGTTATCCTCTTTGTGCGCTCGTTAATGCCTATAAACCAAAAAAACCATTAAATGTTACAACTGAAGATTCAAAACCAAAGGCCTTTGTATATAAATTTTTGGTTGCTTGTCAGGAAGAGTTTCAATTAAAACCAGAACAACTATTTACAATCACACAATTATTTCAGGATGATACAAATGGTTTCGTTATGGTACGTGACAAGCTATGTATTAATTTATGATCCCATATGTTCATTCTTGTTTGATTATTATTCCTAAGAAACTTATAAGAATATGTATTGGGATTATTTATAATTGCAATTTCGCACATTATTCATCATTATTCATCATTATTCATATTATTTCTTATCGATATTATATTAGGTAATTAATACAGTAAAACTTGTAACTGATAAGATTGAAGAGAAAGGTCTTCTCAATTTATCTCGAAAAAGAGATTGGGGAAGATCAGATCCAAAAAAACCCACTGATAATCGAGCTAGAGTAGTGCATGAGTTGCTAGAAACTGAAAGAAAATATGTTCAGGATATGGAAGTTTTACAGGTATTTTAGTCTTTTTTTTTTTTTTTGAAATTATTTATTTAACCGCGTAAGGTTGATATGTATATATATTTTTAAAGTTTATTCCAAATTCTTTGACATTTATGAATTTCTTATTTAGAATTATACTAGAGAACTTCAGAGTCAAGATATCGTTAGCGCGGATACTATTCATTTACTCTTCGCTAATCTTAATCAATTAGTTGATTTTCAACGCCGCTTCCTTATAGGTGTGGAAGCTACGTCTAGTGCAAGTCCAGAAGAGCAGCGTTTTGGCAGTCTATTTATACAAATGGTATATAATTTTTGTTTTATAATTAAACATGTAAAACTAATACCAATTATCATAGGTTTAAATAATTTGGATCTATAAAAAAAAAAAAAATTTTATTTCCAAGTTATTTATACTTATTATAACTGATAATATCAATGTATGAATAGTTTTTAAGTAAATATATAAATAAATTAAAAATAGGAAGAAAATTTTGCGGTTTATGAACCATTTTGCGCAAATTATCAATCTGCTTCCGACCTAGTTATTCAAGAATTACCGAACTTACAGGTAAATTTTCTAATGGAATTTTATGTTGATTTTTTTTATGCTAATTTATGTACTAATTTTTTAATATTAAACTTTTTTTTTTGACAGAAATTATCTCATGTAGTTGAACCAACGTATGAACTACCATCATTATTAATTAAGCCTATTCAACGTATCTGTAAATATCCATTATTGTTGCAGGTAACTATAGAATTTATATCTAAAAAATAAACGAGCTTTATTCTTTTATATTTAATATTTAATATTTTTATATTGAATGAATATATAGGAATTATTAAAATTTACTGATAAGGAGGATAAATACTATGAGGAAATTAAGAATGGTCTCAATGCAATCAAGCGTGTGGCCGATCGTGTAAATGAAACGCGGCGTCAACAAGAAAATGCCGCTGTCGTTAAAGATTTGGAGCGTCGTGTAGAAGATTGGAAAGGTCATAAAATTGAGCAATTTGGTGAACTTTTACTTGAAGATGTATTCACTATGTCTAAAGATGATTCTGAACGTGAATATCATGTATATTTATTTGAAAAGATTTTGCTTTGTTGTAAGGAAACAAATTCAAAAAAACAACAAAGTAAATCGCAACTTCTTAAAAACAATAATCGGAAATCTAAAAGAGCTAGCCTGCAATTAAAAGGAAGAATATTTATACACAATATTACTGCTGCAGTAGAAAATCGGGGTGGTGAAAACGGTCGGTCTGGGGGTATGTTGTTGAATTTATTTATTTTATATTTTTATTTTATATTTTTATTTTATTTATTTATTTTTGCGTTTAATTATTACTTTAATAATATATCATTTTTAAATTTTAGTATTGTCATTAAGAATATATTGGCGAGGGGATAGCGAGATGGAATCTTTTTCTCTCAAATGTCGAAATGAAGAACAACTTAAACAATGGAAATCTACATTAGAAAAATTGTTACCAGGAGATAGTAATCATCGTCATACAATGACGAAAGGACAATTAGATAATACTACTCCTCCCCCGAAACGCCCTGGAGTATCAAACACACAGTTGGCATCTTTGCAAAACCTTGACCTTCCTTACTTTCGCCGAGATGGTGACACTGACTCATTTATTGAAGACGAAGATGATTATGATGATGATGATGATGATGAATCGGATGACTATGCTATGAATCATAATAATAATAAACTAAAAAGTCAATCATTACCTTATGGTCAATTTCCTTCTTCTTATAATGACAAAGGTAGGCCGAAAACCAACGAGTCTGTAGCACCTCCACCTTATGGTTGGGATCCAAATTCACCACCGTTGCCAAATATACATTTACAACACCGATCACTCTCGAGTTCAGCAATTCAAAATTTGTCACGAAATGGTAATTCAACTGCACCCCCAACCATGGCTACGTTCCCGTCAAACGCTATGATGCAGATGGAAAATAATATGACTTATTTTCCGAATTCTCCACCACCCTCATATCCTGGTTCTCCAGCTCCATCTACTCGTAGCAGTACAACTTCACATTCAAGCTCTAATCCTGTTGCTATATGGCAACGTAGAAGTGTTGAACATCCATCACCTCTTGCGGGCACTATTGCAAAGTTTATGAATGAAGATGATGAATATAGTATTAATCCACCACCGCTACCAATTCAACGTTCTCATTCTCATAGTGCTGCCCCAGGTCAAACATTTAATCAAGTAGTAAATGGACCTGCACCTAATTTGCCAAATCACAACGTTGTAAATCGCCTAAGATCACAAAGTAGTCCAAATATCCAATCCATTCAGGAATTACAATTTGAAAATACAGAACCTGTGCCTAGCATTCCGAATTCTAGTAACCTTGCGCGTCAAAATGTTACTAATGGGGTTCAATCAATAGAGATAGAACAACGAAGTAGTGGGTCAAGCAACTCTTCACAAACTTCTGGACAATCTCTTCATACTACTAATTCAACAAATTTACCTACAAATAATAATTTGTTGTCACCTCAAAGTGACCAAAAGAAGCAACATTCTTTATCTAATTATTCTACGACTATGAAAATTAAAGTGAATTTTGCTGAAGATGTCTTTGTGATAGTTGTCCCTCAAGATATTGAATACAGGGAATTATGTGACCGTGTGGAACGTAAAATACGCTTATGTTCTACACGAAGGGATGAAAGCGTCCCCATTCGAATTAAATACCAGGATGAGGATGGTGATCATATTACAATTAATTCTGATGAAGATGTTTCAATGGCATTCGAAGGTAGACTAGCCGCGGGTGGAAATTTTGTTAATTTGTATGTAAGCTGAAAATATATTATAATAAGGTGTGAATATGAGACATTACAAGGTCAAAATCCGGGCATAAGTAGTGTGATCCGGCCTCCTTATCAGGTCATCCGGCGATAAAAAAAGGTGTGAATTTTGATATCCTTAATAATAATAGTGTTGGTCGTTGGTTACTGTAAAGTATCGTGTGTGTTTAAATGGTAAATTGTAAAATGACATCAGGTGTCCTCTTTTTTTTTTAAAAAAAAAAAGATTCATTTATAGCGGTTAACTTTTTTTTATTTTTTATTTTTTTTAACTATTATATACCTAAATATTTTACTAATTAGAAAAATCTGGTGAACAGAAGTGTATAATCTCTCTTTTATTTAACCTGCTTAAATATTCTTGTTTTCGCATTTTTTTTTTATCATTTATTTAACGTTTATTTACACAAGTGTGAAAGATCAAGAATGTTTACAGGAAAAATTTTTTATCCTACATTTCCTTCAAAAATATCTTTATATTACGATATATCATGTATTGCCATTAAAAAAAAAAATAATAATCAAACATAATTAAATTACCGTTTAGCATTACTGTATATATATGTACGTGATTGATTTTTATATGTATATTTGAGTTTTATAGAATGGGTAATTTGACGATTGTGCCAAATTGGCTTGTGATCATATTATCGAAATCAAAGGTTTATTGCATGCACCCATTCAACGAGAAAGAATGGTGAAAAAATTTTATTCGATTCTGATTTCTTGATGTGATGAAAAGTAAATTGAAAAGTTATTCTTGAAATTTCTATAAGGCCATACAAATTTGATTACTTGGTTTTCATAACATGAAACTTTTAAATAGACCCGGCCGGCCGGCTTTTTT